AAGACGTGTGTTTTGCTGCAGCTCCTGTAAAACAGTGTTCTCAGGACATTCAGTGCTGGAGATGGAGGCATCACTTCTGTGTCTGATTCTTCTTTATTCCTCCTCAGAATTCTGTATATTGTAGAGAAGCTTCATCTTTTCAGGATTGTATCTCGTCGGGAGCTGAAGCGTTGGAATGATTCTGTAAAATGTTCCAGAGGACTAATGTTCAGAAATGCTCCCATTTAACTAAAACTCACCAGAAACTGTTCCTTCAGGAAGACGTTTCCGGTTCCTCCTTCGTTGCCCTGACAACAGTGATGTCACGACTCTTCCTTTTCTCCAATTCAGTTTCACTTTTACCGTCTTTGTGTCGCAGCTTCTTTTATCCGTCTGAAGGTGAGTAAAGTTCGCTTGAACCTCTTTTGTAGCCGCTGTTAGTTTAGTCCCAGCAGCAGAAATGTGGCTCCACAGCTCCGCTAACATTCAGCTCCAGCTCTGACTGGACTCATGCGGCAGCAGCTCCGTGTCGCTCCGTCCTGGAGCCAAAAGTTGTCCGTCAGCGGCTGAAACCTCAGAGAGTCAGAGTGAAGCAGCCCGACAGGCCTGCAGCTCCACACGGTGAAGGAAACGTGTTTTCTACGTGTTAACTTTATTAAACCTGGTGGACAGTTTAAAGTGTTCATGCTGTTTGAAACCCACTTTCTCATCAGTGAGACCAGCGGCTTCAACAGTTCAGCAACTTGGAGCTTCACGGACCCAAACGGTTCTGTTGTCCGACCGGCAGAGAGCGAAGACGAACCCGGCAGCAGAACCCTGAACACGGTCAGTTTAAGAGAACTTCTACACTTTACTGTTGAAGTATTAGCAGCTTGTTGGTTGTATTTAACTGTAAAATATTTTAGTTAATATCTGACGTTTCATGATCAGCTAACATTAGCCAGCTAATGGACATTAGCTAACTAACGACAGCATGCTAACTAACAAACGTAGGCTAATAAAAACACTGCATATTTAAGGTTTGCTGGGTTAAAATAACTTGAAGAATAACATAAACTTTACTAAATGTTTGTTAAAGTCATTACAACATGATTTTTTCTTTTTATTATCTCAAAGCTAACGTTAGCCGCTTTGCTAAATAACTACGTAGAATCTTCGTCCATAAACATCAAGGAGACGCTTAATACACAATTTGTGTCCCAAAATCACAGCTCATCTTTTATATATTTACGTACTTAGCTCAACAATTTCAAATCTATTAGGCCACAAAATTTCCATAATCATAAACCTACTGTGATGAAAACAGACACAAACAGCTTAAATATTAATGATTCTCACCAATAATAAATATAATCTGAGTGTTTTTCCCCATAAAATGTTAGGAGGAGCTGAAGTTTGTTTCTTCCAGCCGTTTGGAACGATTGGCTCTGGGTTAGTTTCATAGCTGCAGCATCAGACAGCAGCAGGAACAGAGAAAGTTATGAATTATCCTCGAGACGACATGAAGAGACAATAAACCAGGACCAGGACCAGGCGGCAGGTCACACTGTGTAGATCTGGTGGACTGATAGAAGTGCAGCAGCTGATGGCAGCTTTCTCGGCCTCAAACTGCTGCTGACTGCATCCAGCTGACAGAAACCCAACAAAAGAGCAGATCAGTGGAGGAGCAGCTGATCTTTATACAGCACACACGATGAACAGGAGGATTTCAGTGGGCGTGCAGCTTAGCGATGTGTTTCCTCTGCAGGTGAAGGTGAACGGTGTGTGTGAGCTGGTGTGAGTTCAGCAGCATGGATCAGTGTGAGGATCCTCAGAGCTCTCTGTGTGGGGAACAGAAGAACCAGAAC